CGTTGAGTGTATTTTGGATGAGACTGTTGGGTCTCGGATTACAAACATTCATCCTGGGATAAGAGTAGAATTTGGATTTTGACCGCAGCATTCAGAATACAAAACTGTGCAGTACAAAAGGCAAATGGTATTCTTCTATTCGACCCCGCGCCGGTTAATTTTAATATGGCCGTATTTCTGCCAAGCGGAACCATGTGCACTAAAACATGAGCCTTGAGACCCATAAGAATGTATGCATAACATAGCTCACGTCATAATACACAGAGTTCCGTTTTGGCAAAGATATGACCACATTAGCTACCTTTTTGTCATCATTATCCGTCCTATTGACTCTTGATTGATCAAGCGCTTATTTATGTTTACCTGTTATGTAGTCGAATTTGGACCTCCAGAACTGCAGTCATCAACAGTACGCCGTGCGAGCCTTCAGCCGTTGCCATGTTCCCCTCAATGAAAATCGAATATACTGGCAAAAATTGTGAATGTTTTTCTTCAATTTTTTTTGGAAATTTTGTTTGAAATTCAATCTAAAATATCTGAAAATTTTACGGACGATTTTCCATAACTTTCCTCTGAAATACATGTTTTATAACAGAAAATTTGGCAACTCTTGAAGGTTCATACGGCTTTCTTCCTAAAAATCGACCGATTCTAGAAACCGTGAATCACAAAATGTGACTCCTAAGAATTCTGTCACACCAACATACTGACTGTCACCACGTTTGACAAAACGCCTTCAATTTTCACGAGATGGCAATTTCTTCACATATGAGCACGTTGATTTGTATTCGTTTCGCCGTGCCGTTTCGCCAGTGCCACTTAAACGGAGGCCAAAGTGCACTTTATGATGGTGTCAAGCTCCATGTTGATGACCTTTGATGACCTGGAAGGCAGAAAAAAATGAAAAAGAAAAAATCTGCCTTGAAAAAAGTTTCCTTGATTTGCCGCCCGACATTTCAACAAAATTCCTAAATTTCAACAATGCTACAATTTTTTTTATTTAGCAAATATTTCTAGCTACTCTTATTTTCTAGATGATGTTTTCAAAAAAGTGAAGGAAGGTATTCGATAAAGATGAGCAATCATCTTTCCAATTAGTGAAGCGTTATCGCTTTTCTTACTTCAAATCGCCCCCTACCCAGAGATTAAGTATTTCCACGCTTAAATTTCACACGTTCCCCCTCCTTTAGGACAAGAGGACAAGAACACGAACCATTGCTCCAAAAGAAATTGACAAATCAAAGTTTAAATTAGTCGATCATTAAATAAAAATAACTTCAATTTCGTCCCGCTAATCGTGTAGAGCCCGTAAGCCCATTCTTCTAATGTTTTGCTTGAGTAATAATGCTCAATTAGAGATACTAGTCAATAACGCTTGTTTAATTTACAACGCCATTGCTATTCATATGAAGCAAGCAGAAATAAAATTCTACCTGGCCAGAATAATTTTTTTGGGACTCAAATTTGAAGAAAAAGAAAACAATATCATTAGCACTCCATCGATAAGATTGCTAGTCCTAAATTTTTTGTAGGTTAAATCATAACCTATTGTTTTTATGAAACCTGAAGTATTTCTCTGAAAATTCCACTCAATTTGGTTTCAATGTTTTCATCCCGTGAAAGTGAATGGTCAGAATTTGTAAAATTTATAGTCTGTCCAAACAAAAATATGTGAAATTTGCTTCCACCAGTTGTAAACGAAAATTCCGTATCCATTGTTCTGTTTTTGTAACTTTTTTCTGTTTGCATCGTTCCCTCTCAAGTCGATGATTCTCTGATGTCTGTGAGTACCCGTCCAGATTGATACCTAATTTATTTATATTTATGCATTAATCTCACGCAATAATATAATAGCATAAGAGTAATGCGAAACGCACATCGCCTCAGGCGCGAAGCGCTTCGGGGGATTGGACTGTGAAGCGATCAGGGAGCGTAACCCCTATTTATAGTTATTAAAAAAGAGGCATTTTAATGCACGTTGATCTGATTCCCAACATGAAATATCCACATTTGGACGTATTTCTATCAAACGGAACTAAGCGCCAATTTGAGTTCCTTTTGAGGAATTTTGAATCCCGGATAGCGCGTTCTGTCAAACGGACCTAAGCGCCATGGAAAAGCATTGCGAGTATAGGACGGAATAAGCCGGACGCCCGATTCCGCCGCCAATCCAAGCCCCCCTCTACCTTCCTCACCCTATGGCGCTTAGGTCCGTTTGATAGAAATACGTCCATTTTATCGTCTGCCAACCTACGTCTGCATACTCTTCATAAATGACGGAAAGCTTGAAGGTGCATTTTTCGAATAAATCGGCACGATTAACGCCTCTCAAAAAAAAAAATAGCAATTATAGTTCGATTTAAGGTTTGCAGCTTACAAAAACTTTCTTTCTATAAAGAACTATAAATGGACTACATTCTGCAATTCGGAACTATAAATTCTAGCCCGGTTTAAAAACGACGTATGTAACATTAGTTTCCCTGTGCACATAAATGTTTTTCCACTTCAGCCAGAATTTATAGTTCCAAATTGCAAAATGCAGTCCAAATATAAAATTTTAATTGACGAAACTCAGAGTGAGCGCGAATATAATTGATCTTTACGCACTCTTTTGGTTGAAAGATATACCTACTATAACTGCTTTACTAATCATTGAGAGAATTTCATGTCAAGAACTTCAGCTCTGATTCCTCGATCTAATTCATCGAAAACCGATTTACTGAAGTGTTTCGCCTCGTGGACCAAGGTCCCTTTTTTCACAGACGATTGGCTGTGAGTATCAAAATAATTTTCGAAAACTTGTATTTTTTTTTTTTTTTCAGGGAGAGTTTTTGACACTCATCTGCGTTTTTGCTGCGGTAGTTCTACGAGAGGGACAGTGCTCTTTGTGTTACGGTGTGAAAGAGCATTTGGTTCCTAAACGCTCGGTAGGACTAAAAATTTTAGTTTTTTTAAATTTAGTTTTAAAAAAAAATTACATAAACATAAGTAACAGCTTTTCAGAACATTCAATATTTTTAAGCATTGAATTTTGCATTTTTCATTTTTATTTTCGATTCTGTCTCACATGGGGCATTGTAGTGTTGGTCAAATTTATCCACCTCATGTTCTATAATGTAAAATCATAAGAATGACGCGTAACGCATAACGCGTGGGGGCCGCGGGGAGGGGGGGGGGCTGCGGTGGATGCTCTCAAAAATCCCTCTCAAAATCGTGCTTTGAAGATTTCGATTTACGCTTTGGATAGGCACTGAAGGCATTATACAAGGGATATTCACCGAACTGACTATATTATGATTACCTAAATGAAAGAAACATTAATGTTTCGGAAGGCAACTCTTCAGCAGTTCTTACCATAAAACATACTTCATTGTAAGGCCCTTCTGACTCCTTCTCCCCCCTTGATCTGGTGCTGCCTCTGAATAAAAGCAAGGTTTTCGTATGTAATCCCACTACCTTTTTTATAGTTCACTTTGCTTGCGTTTCTTATAATAGAAGAAATGGTGAACTGATTCGGAACTGTAAGATGAGAGTGATGAGAGTGGGTCATTATCGCGAAGTCAAAAGAATATTAGTGTAAGTATTCACCGCATAGCTCGGAGTATCTAAAATCCTGGTAATTGCAATGTTTGTGAGTTTTTTACTGTGGTCTTTTTTAGGCACATGGTGCATGGTACTTGCAGTATGCGACGCCCATGAAAGATGGAGCCTCCTTCAAAACGATGAACCCTTCTTGCGGAATTTACAGTAAGCTCACGCCCTGATAGACTAAATAAATTGTGTTTAAAAATAACTGATTGACCTTTCAAAAGGTCTGCTCAAAAGAAATAAAGTAAGAAATAAAATATTAAAATAAAATGAAATAAAATTATATTTGTGGAAAAAAAGTTAAATCCAAAGATAGAGCGAACATTTGAACGGTGAGGACAATGTATTTTAATATTTAGACACTGTAGTTTACTATGGTTGATTTCACAAAACTTTATACATACATGGGGAGCAGCTTTCATAATTTGATGGCGGAATTACGAAACTTCGTATCTCCATTTGTGATATTGCAGACCTCCCATATTAATATATTTTTTCTTCGAGAGACAAAAAGTAAACAAAATTTCTTGAGAACTGCCCTGATTTTTCTTTTCTATTAGCAGAATATTCTGTATACATTTCGAGCAATGAGGTTGATTTGTCTCTCTTTGAAAAAATAAAAAAGAATCGGAAATTTGGAAACACCGCACGGGAGATACTTGGTTTTGCACTTTCTATGAAATGGATATCTATGGCCAACGTGGCACTTTGGCCATCGCTATCCATCTCTTGTCTGACTAACTGCTTGTAACTGATTCCTCATAAAATGTGATTGTTTAGATACATTCGATTCGGCGTGCGGCTGTATTGGAATTTTCTACACAAAAGGCAAGAAAGAAGAGTACACTGGAACATCATTTGGCTACCTGAAAGAGTAAGGAAATATAGTCTAAACCTTCAATAATTAGAACACATTTTGACGCTGCAAGTCCACAACTACGTATCTCGTCCGCGAAGCTGGAAAATCTCTACCTCTTTACACCTCTCCTAGTACCTCTCGGTACTTTTTAAAAAAGAAAAAATCAACATCATTCCTTAAAGTCTTAGCATTTTCCTCGGACAAAAAGGGCTTATCACGGAAATTTTTAAAAATTGCGCCTTCGCTAAGGTTACTAAATGCATGATGCTCATCGCGTGCGTTCCGGCGCGGGCAAAAAAAACATGGCGAGGGGCCCTCGCCGAAAGCGCCTTCAAATTTTCTAATATGCAACATGCACATTCATGTAGCACGAATAGTTGCATCCAGACTCTATGCCTCTCAATGCCTTGCTATGTGCTGTCAATGAGGTGTCGATCTGTTTCGGGAGAAAAGTTAAAAAAGAGGCCCGAACACATCTCTCCTACATTCGGCTGTGTTACTCACGTAGCGCTTGAAGCACCATTACGAATAAGACAAACGGAAACAAACACAACATGGTAATAGAGCAAGGGAAAGGATGCGCGTTTACGACGGCGCAGAGATACAACTATTCGTACTTGATGGTCGCCCGTGCTGCATCTGAAAAATTGAAGGCGCGATGACGCGAAGCGTGTCCTCTCAATGCCTTGCTATGTGCTGTCAATGAGGTGTCGCTCAGTTTCGGGAGTAAAGTCAAAAAAGAGGCCCGAATACGTCATTCCTGTCTTCGGCTGTGTTGATACTCATTCTTTCTTCTGTCTTCAGGTTCTTGGTTGATTCTTTTTTAGGGTGGATTTGCAGACCCACGTCTTAAGCTTAAGCTCGTGTAAACCGCAGCATTGACTCGGTTTTTTTGGAAATAATGGTGCTTGGATGCGTCTAGTGTCTTTAGTTTTGTATGTTTTGATTAATTTCAGAAATCAGTCGGTTAATTAAATAGTTCAATTTTGCAATTTTTACTCTGTGTGATAAATAAACTTAGAACCTGAAAATAGTGTGAACTTGTGCTGCTTTGCCGAAATTTTCTGAACCCCTCTCCACGTAAGGGATACCCTACCAAGAAATACCACATTACGCCCCTTTAACCAGCCAAGGGTCTACGCCCTCATATGGGAGCCAGTCCGACCCTGCGTGGAGCGGAGGAAAATATTTTGCGCCTGCCCCTAAATTAATTTTTATGTCACTGATACTCAGATATTTTAGAACTGCAATTCCTTAATGTGATAAGTAAAATTTGAATAGTGAAGTAATTCAGAGATCATTTACAGTATCCAAAATTGATTTTTATTATCATGCTGAAATTTCTGATTTTTCAGCGAAAATTTGATGTTTATCAGGAATTTCACAACTGCCACCGTAGACATCGACGGTAGAAAAATCCGGAAAACCAGTGGCACGGCATGTAAGTACCGATATTTGAATTGCCCCTTTTATTAGTTCATAACACGATCAGTAAATTTGAGAAATTCTAAAGAAGTAGAGAGCACATTTTCAAAGATACTTTACATCTTAAAATATTCTTGAGCCAACCGAAAAAAACTAAGTACCAATACGTCAAATCGGGACATTAATTTATTAAATTCTGGAAGATGAGAAGGGTTCAAACGTTTAACTGTCAGCCGAAATTAGACTGACAAACGAAAGACTCGAATTTTCTTTTTAGCATCGCTTTATGTGCTTTCATATGGCCGAAAAGTGATTTGCACAGTAAACATTGCTAAAAATTTTTCGTCTTCAGTTTCTGATGTACATTTGCATTTTACTTTTACAGTAGGTAAAAAATGCATAAAAAAGAAAAAGTCTATTAAAAGAGCAATTCATTTTTCATTTGACCTACTTTTCGTCCAGAAACCACAGAAAACCCGAAATTTTCCCATGACACTTTAGAGGGAAATTAACCTAATTGTTTACGGTTACATCGCTGCACATTTTAACTTGCACATAAAATCTACTACGACTTATTGAGACGCAGGTCTTGGCATTTTGAATATTCACCGCGTCATCATGAAATTGGAAACCCTCGGAGAAAGTATATATACTGGGCAACAATTCTTCGTTACTCTGACGTAAAAGCATTTATCTCAATTTCAACGTGAGCCTTGTTTGGCGTATAAATCCATGATTTCTTGGGTTCATGCGGAAATTGAGATACGCCCTTACTTCAGAGGCGCAACCAACTGACCCCCCCCCCCCCCCCNCTCAATGGTCTGCATTAACCACCAAACTCATGATTCTCCCCTCTTTTCATTTTTCTTTGTTTACAGTTAGAAGAATTACAGTGCCGCGGAATTATAAGCAGTGCACCGTAGAATTCCCAGAGCTGAAAGCTGCCGGTGGTAAGTAACTGCAGAACTGCACTCAGGGACTGATCTGTTAAAATCCGCAAAAGCTGTGTCAAACTCGACCCAAGGACTCGGTAGTCCCTCGTTTCCAGTGGGGTCGATTGCTTTATTTCACACCAGAGTAGTCATGGTACAACGGACAGTCATCCATCGATTTCATTTCACTTCCGAAGAGTAGCGTACCTAGCCAGACATTTTTATGGGGGAGGATATGATGAAAATTTCTGGAAATGACGAAATTGTTTTTGTTTGGGGGAAGGGGGGATTTCCTGTCAGGAAGGGGTCCTAGCCCCCTGGACCTTCTCGTAATTACACAAACTGATTGCGGTAGATGCACTCGTAAGACAGTATGTTGAAGTTTTTTTAGCCAACGTGCATTAAAAATTTGCATCTGTATTGAGATTTACAGCTTTATGCTAAATTTTTAATGCACGTTGGCTGAAAAACTCCAACATATTCCCGTAATTAGATCTGCTGGGGTGGACGTGGGAGTGATGATCACGCGATGATAAAAAAAAAAAAAAATCTGATGGTTAAAAGTCGACCGAAATCATTTCATTTGCTGCAATGATGCAAAAACCTCCAAAAATTTTACCAAGATTCTCCTCACTGCTGTACATGATTTAATCTTCCTCCTCATTTCCTATTTCTGCAGAGGATGTTCAAATACGGTACTACGATCTGGTAGCATCTGATGACAACAAATCTTATCGAGTATTGATAAGTTGCGACGATGGATGCTTCGATTCAAAAGGTGAGAACCGTTTTGATTTTGTACTAATTTCTTTTCTTTTTTTCGCAAAATTGGATTTTCATTCTTACCGACATACATCATTTCGAAGGAGGTGAATATTTCAAAAAAGAACATAGGACACTTTGCAAGAAGGATTTACGTTTTTGGATGTATAATGCAAATCTCACCAAGTCTATTATATCTCCGATTACTTGAATGGAGTATTAGACTTTGGTGGAAGGCGACATTAGGTTGTTATTGGATGGAACGAGTTAAACGGACTTAACACGAAGTCGCATTTTGGAGATAATGAGTCGGAAGGAGTTTTAAATCCAACCAGTAGTAAATTTTCTTCCATCATGAAGTCAAAATCGAGACAAAATAGTTTGAAGTAAAAATATAAACTTTGTCCTTAATAATGAGTCTCATCAAGAAATAAAGCGTCAAACCTCTTTTTCTCGATTTTATTTAATTATTCCATCCTGTGTTTGGTCTGAATGCAATCTGGTTTTTATATTTAACATGCCCCTGCCCTCCTTACAGGGTGATCCAAAAGTCCCACACCACCAGCACCTGGTAACCCCCTGTAATTTTTAGAAAAATCAAGATGGCGGCTTGAAATTTTATGAGTTCTTCTAGGTCAAAGGAAACGACTTTCGGTGCCCCTCAAAATTTAAAGAGGGCCACCCTGAAATGGAGCAAGAACCCTGGGGGCTATAGGATAGGGGTGGTGCAGAACTTTTGGATCATTCTTTATAGCTACTATGTCTACCCATCAGTCTTCTAATGCGATAACTTTGACTGACACCCTTCACTTCATTTTTCAGATATAAGAAGCGTTTTTGACAGGAACAACCCTAAAATTTGGATTTTTCATCGTAGCCTGAAACCAACGAATAAACAGTTGGCCGCAGCTTTCCATTTTATCCGCAAATACGGTTTCCGCAAAAACAGACTAAGGAAAGTCTCGCATACGAAATGTGTATATCCGAGGATTGCTTCGTAAATAAAGAATCGAGAGAATTCATTCTGAAATGTATGTTTACTTATTCTCGCCATGAATTTTAAATCCCAGTTGGACTTCATTTTACAGTTAGAAACCGCAATTTCTGGTTCACCTGTGAAAACAAGAAACGCATGGTGCATACGTTGTTTCTAAACTAAGCCGAAAATTATTGTTCCTAATTGCAAAATGTAGTAGCCCTGTTGCTGTGATTGTGAGGTATGGAATCCAGCTATGTAAGTCGACGGTGAAACTGCAAAAACGCGTAACTGTTGCTAAAGAGTTTCTCAGAATATTCTTCACACGGAAGACAAATTAGAGATTTCCTCAATATATGACGATAAATATTTTTCCATTTAGGAAGGAAATTCGTCGTTTCCGGGACGAAGGAACGTAAGCCCATTCAAAGGCTGCAAAATTGAGTGAAAAATTTCAATTTTATACATTAATATACCTTTGCGATTTTCTCCAAAATGTGTCTGATATTTGCGTGCGATCAAGAGCTGAATCAGTAAAATTTTTAGTTAGAGCCCAAGATTCTTCGAGTAAAATACAATTTGAAAGGGGAAATTCGGCAACATTGGAATGCAGTTACGTTCTTTCGTGAGGGAAACGACGAATGGGACTACATTTTGCAATGAAGAACTATAAATTTCGGCCCGGTTTAAAAACAACGTATGTGCCATTAATTTCTCTATGCACATAAGTGTTTTTTTCAGATGAGTTAGAATTTATAGCTCCAAATTGCAAAATGCAGTCCAATTATACATGTTAGGAAGTCTGTAGCGTCGCAAACCAAGTTGCGCATTTTTGCAAGATCACGGACTATAATATGATACTATGTACCCACGCCATGCCGTAAAATGACAAAAAAAGTAAAAAGAGTTTTGAAATTTCAAAATTGAAGGTAAAAGAGATGCAATTTTGAATTCACTCAATGTAAATTTCAAGCCTCTTGAATAGCTCTGATTGAAACATGACTAACAAGAATAAGAGGAAAGATGGAGCAGCGGCGACCGGCGAGACTGCGAGAAGTGCAAGAGAAGCCTCCAAAATGAGGTAAAACGCAAAAATCGTGGTTAGGCGTGACGTCCTGAGGCAGATTATCAAATATTTCCCGTGTTTAAAATTTTGATTGACGATTCGACCCAGTGAGCCCGGATCTTGGGAAAAAAGTCCCGTTTTTACCCCTCTCCCTCCCTCTCCCTGGACGGCCCCGACCTGACAAATACCAGCACACTGAAAAAAACCCCGGCCGTAGAAGCCGTACTTACGGGCTATACTGCCGTGCTAAGGAAAAACGCCGTATGAACCTCCAGGCGTTGCCAAATTTCCTTTGATAAAACACGAATTTCCTGGTGAACTTGTGAATATTTTCCTTCCAATTTTTCAGATAATTTTTCTCGCAAGAATACCTAACGTTCCTGAAATTTTCAAGGAAAAATATTCATAACTTTCCTCAAAAATAAACAGTTTATTGAAGGAAATTTGGCAACTCTCGGATGTTCATACGGCGTTCTTCCTTAGCATGGCAGTATGTAGACATACCGCCCGCGTTCCGGGCTCGGAGATCGAAAGTTCCAGGCGTAGCACCCGGAGCCATCGAAGCAACGGCTCCAGCACCCGGAACTTTCGGCTTGTGAGCCCTGAACGGACGGTATGTCTATATAGCCTGTAACTTTTTTCAGTGTGATGATTGAGGAGAAGGAATCAAGCCAAACCCGACCTCATCCTGAAATCAGCGCGAAGCTCTCATTCTCAGGAAAAATCCGATCGAAAACGGCGCTCAGCTCCTATATTTTGTGCCTAATTTGTGCGAAATTGACCTGAACCTGATGCTATTTAAAAGGTTCAATGCTGTCTAAAATGCACTCGAGGTGGAGAGCAAGTGTGTGTAAAAGAATCGAAAAAAGGCGTGACGTCATTTTATGCACGGTTCGTGATAAGATCTTAAAGTTCGTATTTCAGTAAAGCTTAATATTCATAATCGGCTTATAAGATTAAGGCAAATTGATACAATGAGATGGAATAGAGGGGCGGGGCAAACGATAGAGGTTGAGAACCTCTAAATTTCTGGCCGAACTACGAAAAGTTTAATGCTGAGCAAACACGAAGCGCAGACACCCAGATAAACAAACTAAGGACCAGCCCACGTCATACTTTTCAAAATTTTGCGAACATGTGCTTATAAGGTAATTCATCAGACCAGTAATTGTACACTTGATTCATCAACTCAACAGCATGAGGATGGCATGCCGACATTCATCTTCAGTTTCTTTCCTTTTCGTCGTCTCGAATATTTTTGGGGTCATCGGTCAGGGGTATATTCCGAATCCAAGGGTCGAGCCACGCTGTAGTGCGTACAATGTTTTACCGTATGATTCCACAATTTTCGTGAGTATAGTATTCATTTCTCAATAAATTGGACTCAACAATTTCGAATGAAAAATATGTGCAACAGGCCAGCAGTATAGTACTTGCCACAAAAAAATATGGTTGAAAATTGTCTCATATTTGGTTTAAAGTATCTGCAGTGTGTTCTGATCCCTTAAGCCCAAAACTGATCTCCATCTCTTCACCAACTTTATTGGAATAGCCAATTTTTCACGGATAACCAATTTTTCTCGGGTAAATGCCATAGTAAGATTTTCTTTCCGTTTTCCGAGAAGAAAGGCCAAGAATTCCCAAGTCCTGTGGATGAATTATTTCGGTATATTTTACGCCACCGAGTCCGGTAATGAACTTCAGATTTTTTTACTTCCCTCCAAACTTAAAAAGAAAACAATTTTTAACCAGCTTTTTACACTGCTTTTTGAAGGGCGTAAAAGGTTATTCCGGAGAAAATGTATTTTTCTGAAAAAAGGCAGGCCATGAAAATAATTTTCCCTCATTTTCTGATTCAGCGGCTGAACTGGCTCATTAATTGCATTGATAGACAAAGCGATTAGTCAAAGAAGATATAGATGAAATGAAGGGGTTATATGGTACAAGTGGGACGTGGATGGTTGCAATGAACAAAGAAGGTGTGTAATAAACTTACTGATGGCAACCTACGAGAGACCCTATAGTGTTAGTCCATCCCTTTCTCTCTTAGTCTGTAAGAGAACCACTCGTTTCAACTGATAGAATCACTCCATTCCTTCGTCTTCCTTGTCTATCAATTTAAGTAATCAGCTCTCTGGGAAACTCTTGGACTCTTCTCCTGGAAAACGGCAAGAAAAGCTTTCCACGCCAATTTCTTGGGAAAAATTGGCTATCGCAGAAAACTGATGGGTGATAGGATAGGGGAAAAGCGGAGATTTGTTTTCGGGGAAATAGGAGACATCAAGTACTTACAACCCAAAGTCTCTGATATTTTTTACTTTTTTTGTGTATAATTAGACATTTCCTCAAATACCTAAGCATATAGCCAGTCGCCAGGGGGTGCGTGCACCGGCGCAGCCCCCTCCTTTCTCCAGAAAACGCTCCTCTCGGTCACATCCCAAAAATTCCAACAGAACAGGCCCGTCTTGATGCTATTACCTACCAATAGCCGCAAAAATCATGAAAATTGATCCTGTAGATGTATGACCCTAACAAAGGATGTGATTTGATTTTAGGACTTCTCACAGCCTTATTACGTGTCTGCATCGAGCGTTGCCGGCACAGTTATCGGATGGAACGAGCCGGATACAGTGGTCTGTGACAGCACTTTCAGTGAGTAATCAACAGGTTCGATTCGTGAAATTTGGCAACACAATTTTCCCCCTATTTAAAGCCATTGTAAATAATCCATTGTACGGGAGGGAACCCACCGCGATTCATAATATGGATTGCAATGGATATTGCAAATGGTTCAAGTTGAAAAGCGTGAATCTCCAATTGGACGACATTTCGCAATTAGGAACTACAATTTGTGGCTCATTCTAGAGACATCATATGTGCCATTAATTATCCTACGAAGTTGAGTTTTTTTATGTATGAGTCAGAAATTGTAATCCCTTTTTGCAAAAATTCAGTCCAATATATTGTCGTGCGGAGGGAAAACTCCGTATGAGCCTTTAGATGGTACCGCATTTCCTTCAATGAAAAACACATGCTTACTGGAAAAATTTCAAATGTTATCCTTCCAATTTTTCAGACAGTTTTGTTCGCAATTATATTTAAAATATCTGAGAATTTTAAGGCAAATGTGCACACTGGTAAAAAAAAACCTCTTGGACCAATGCCGCGGTGCATTGAATTAAGAGTGCAGTTTCTTGTCGCCGGATTTAAGAGTCTTGAACTCTTGTTTCAAGCGGATTTTGCATTGATTCAATTCAAAATCCGCTTGAAACTAGAGTCTAGACCCTTAAATCCGGCGACAAAGAAACTGCACTCTTGAACCAAGAGGTTTTTTTACCAGTGCATAATTTTCCTCAAAGGTGAATCTTTCACCGGGGGAAATATTGTAACTTTCGAATGCTCGTACCGTGTTCCTCTTTAGCTCGGCAGAATTGCGACGTTGCAAATCTCTACTCAGGTTTTATCTTTTGAAATGAATATAACCAGAAGTTTTCCTTGAGATTCTCTGTGATTTTTCTTCATTCTTTTATAGATATCCACCGAAAAATCCGAGGATAATTTGAAGCGCTTCCATTAATAAGAAATAAAAATAAAAAAATTAAGCGCAATAAAAAAATAACGGAAATGTACAGACAGGCGTTAATTACAATGAAATTGTGCATTTTTTCATTATAGTCATTAGATGCGAGTACCTTATTTGCCCCAATTTTTTTCAGAACCTTGTAGCGACGACTCTGTTAAACATGGACGTATTTATGCCAAACAGAACTATGTACATTAAGCCATGAGCCCTGAGACTCATAAGCATATATGCACAACAGGGCGCACGTCATAATGCACATAGCTCTATTTGGCATAAATAGGTTCAATTAGGTGTACATACACGATTCACATGTAGGATCCTGATCCCATGTTTGACAAATATTACAGCTGTCGGCGCTCAGTGCTGTGGTTTGTGCACGTTTATCCAATTCACGCCCAACAATGATGACCCCGATCCTGACCAATTCTCCATGAACATGATTGAAACTGCATTCAACGAGTGGTAATGTCTCAACTAATTACACTTTCACTTCTAGAGGAGTAAGCACGCGACAAAAACTAGGGCTGTATTATATCGGTGGCTACATTCTACATTCCATCAAAATGACATTTGGCCATTTAAGTATTACGTCAGGCATTTTGGCCGGCTTATTAACCACCCCCCCTCTCCTGCAGGGCACCCGTAAGATAACCTCGTATCCCCCTTTTGAATTACGTAAGATTAGCCTGCTCCACACTCAGTTTTTTTTCGAAAATAACTGAGAAGCGGTAGAAACAGCTAGAAAAATTTTATCTTTAGTAGGAGGCTCACAAAGACTGGTCTTAACCCCCCCCCCCNAATTTATTACTTTGAGCTAACTTACTCAAATTAGTATTCTACTCAAAGATGGTACTGTGCAGCAAACTTATTGGAGTTGTACCCTAGAGGTGCAGAATGTTCACGAAACCAACGACCGATAGGTTGTTCGCGAAATGCGCAGGTAGTGGGCAAATTCCGTAGGCTATACGACCTTGAATAATGGAGAATATGAAATTTATTACTTTTCAATCAAAATGCGCGCTCTTTTCGCGCACGCCTTCTGAAGTTGTGTACGCGTACTGGCATACGCATTTCCAAATGGACGTATTTATGCTAAAAGGAACTATTTGCATAGGGATTACATGAAACGTAGTTCCTTTTAGCATAAATACGTCCAAATAGCGTATGCATCTCGGAACTTGGTGCGGTTTGCGAATTTAAGATTCAAAAGCGAGACAAGAGATCGGGTTCCGCTTCGCTGCGCGCTAGTGGGGATGGGACGAAGCAGTTTTGCAGGCGTTTCTCACGATCATTTCTTCGCGCAAAGGTCCAAAGTTTCGTAAATTTACTGACAGAGAATGAGTTCCCTTTTTAAAAATTCGGTCACAATTATGAAGCAACTAAACTTTCTCACATATCCACAACAATGAAAAAGGGCTTGGTCTCTATTCCGCTGACCCATAGATTTTAACGCAGAGCAGAAAAGTTGCATGGGGCGAAACACGTGATACAACTATTTTGACTTCCAAGCGGATAAAATTGCATACCCACAAAATGAAGGAGAATATGGTGCTTTATATCATCCCAACTATTCGGTTCGTCAATCCCTACTTTCAGTTCGTGAGACTGAACGTCCAGTTCGTATAACCGAACTTATGAGGTTAAAAGAACTAATGCAAGAAGTTCGGTTACTTGAACCGAACGTTCGGCTAGACAAATCAAAAAATTGGTTTTATTTGAAAGATTGAACCCACAGCGCTCTGATTTTTATGAAAACTTATGACAAGGATGTTGATATTTTTTAAAGGTTACTTGGGTTGGGTTGGGTAAAACTAGTGCGAAAGTGTTGAGTTTTGGAAAAAATTCCTGCAGAAGCGTTCAATTTTTGAGAAATTCATTGCAAAAGCGCTATATTATGTTAAAAATTACTGAAAACGTGCGATCTCATAGTGCGTAGACTGAATCCCTGGTTGCTCGAAACTGCGTAGACCAAAGATATTTTTACACCCCTGTTGTACCTACCCTAACTCGTTAGAGCCTAATATTTATGGGTGATTTCTATTAATTACTCATCTCGTGCATTAATTTCCTCTTACTTTTGCTGATTGCAGCTATGGTGGATACGATACAACGACCAGCACGGTTTATCCGGCGTATCAAGAGCGAGACAAAAGTGTGTACAGAGTGTTCCGCTCTCAAAATTACAGTAAGTCCTTTTAAAAGTGTAAAACCTCCGCCTAATCAAACTTAAAGCTTTTTTACCGAGTGTTAGTCTTTAAAAAAAGACTGTTTTTGAAAGCTGGGATTCAATCAACTTTAATGTAACATAATGGAGATGTTGCATGTGTGAGGAATTTGCAATTTGACTGTTGATTCTTACGTAAAAGTTCGCGAGAAACACGATGGTGCCACTGTTATTCTCTGAAATCAACTCCCAAGCTCAAAAACAGCTCTCAAGTTGAGGCCAAAATGGAGGGATATCCCACCCTACCCTGAGAGTCCACCTCTACATTAAGACAAACGCTCCATGCAAAGATAGGGAGCAAATACATTAACAGGGCTGCCACTTTATTTATGGGGACTCTAAAACTGAAAACACGGCATCACTGCTAATGTATTTGCTCCCTATCTTTGCATGGAGAGTTTGTTTTGATGTAGAGGTGGACTCTCACAATAGCGTGGGATATCCCCTCCATTTTGTCCTCGACTCGAGAGCTTTTTTTGAGCTTGGGAGTTGATTTCAGAGAAAACTAGAGTACCTGTATAGCGAGAGTATAGACAGATGTGAAACTCCGAAAACCCATTAGGCCTTCACCGATGCCTCCGCGAATAAAGTTAGGGCCCAGAAATGCAGCCAACCTATGAATTTCAATAATCCAGAGCGATTTACTAATATAACTGTTACGGACCATCGTTTATAAAGCACGTATTTGACTTAGTTTTTGCATAATTTACTCGTTTTTGCACAAGAACTCTCATTTATGTACATTTTTTGCCATCTTAGTTAGAATTAGAATCTGCAGACTGGCAGTGAAATTTTGTGCGTTAGAAGCTGGTTGGAAGGGTGGCTGCACTTTTGGGCCCTAAGCCCTCCATGAAGCGATCTGTCCATACTCTCACTATACAGGTACTCTAGAGAAAACCAGTGGCACCATCGTGTTTCTCGCAAATTTATACGTAAGAATCAACAGTCAAATCGCAAATTCCTCACACATCTCCAATAGGGAAATGGGACATTATCTTTTCTCTGCATCTAGAGGGCAAGTGTATAGGTAAGAGGGTCTAATTTTGTCGTCTTTTCATTTCTTACAGATAAGTGGCTGACTTCCACAGACGTATACGACAGAAACTTGATCGATACCCCTAAGTACAGAACAGGTACTCCAACTTTCCTTATCGTACATCGCATAATTGAGTCTCTAAATTTTTAAGGTATTAATGGCTAAGATGGTGTAAAGCGCCTTTAAATTAACTGATTGACTAGTCAACAAACCAATTAACCAACTATTCACACCTGTGCTAAAATGTAAATTTTCTTGCTACTTCTTTATTTAAAAATAGCCATTTCATCACAAATTCAAGCGCATAATAAGATTTTTTGGCTTATAGAATGTTGAAGGCAATCGCAAGCAATATCGAAGCTATAATAACCATTCCTTGCAATTTTAATGAGTATTGCATTATTCTTTTATTTTAAAAAAGGGAGAAATCGCCGATTACTTGATTTCATAAGGTAAAGTCAGGGAAATCCATACATTTATTTTATACTATCATTTTTAATTTTTTTCACAGCACCGTTGAAATATTCCTTCGGGGTGATTATGGCTGATATTGACGTTCTGGTGCTCGTTTTCTGCAACAACTTCAACAACCTTACCTGTAAGTATGACTTGAGGGTGGGCTTTTTACATACCCGTAGCTAGGTCATTTTGCTGGGGGGCCTGGTCCCCCACCACCGGGGGGTCTGGGGGTATGGAATATTCCCCAGCTCAGTGGGGGGTCCGGGGGGGCCTCTCCCGGAAAATTTTTGAAATTTTAACTCTATTTGAGCGCATTTCGAGGCATTTGTGGCGCTAAACTTCCTTCAATTTCTGCCGAAAAATCACCCAGTTTTATGCATTTTAAGGTTAAAATACTTTGAAATTGTTGCATTCAACAGGTTATGCTATTTATAAGCATATGTAAGGCATGGTTGACTAACATACTGAATACATACTAACATACTACATGTTTACTAATTGCCAAAATATTTACTTTCTATTTGTGACGCATGAAAAATGCAAAAATTAAAAGGTAAGGAAGAAAAAGAAAACACTGTTTGTAATGCATCTTTTGATGGTATCAGCTTGTTGCGTGCAGTAAAATGAGTAAACTAACAATGTGTTGCGTTCAGTTAGGTCACGCAACTAAACAAACCTCCCGGAGAAACGAGAAGTATAGCCAGATTTGAAGGCGTTCAAAGCGTTTGGTTGGGTCACGCAACTAAACTAACTTCCCGGCAAAACGGGAGGTATCACCAGATTTGAAGGCGTTCTAAGCGTTTGGTTGGGTCACGCAACTAAACTAACCTCTCGGCAAAGCGGGAAGTATCGCCAGATTTGAAGGCGTTCTAAGAGTTCGGTTGGGTCAAGCAACTAAAGTGGACTCATGTGGATGCAACAAGCATTTTAAGTACCGAAAGGCCGAAGGCCACCCGCCACGCCATTTACTTCTCATTTAATTTTTCATTTAATTTCGCAAAATGTGTTTCAACATCTTTCATACTTTTTGGGAATTTCACGAAGTATTTCACACGAAATTTCAAGATTTTATTTTTAATGATACAGTGCAATCCTGATTCTCTTACGGGTGCCTTCGCAAAGGGGGCAGGGGTCAAAAATTCGGTCAAAATGCCTCACACAGTATGAGCGGTCTCTCAATTTTGTCCTTATTTCCTCACTTATTTTAAATGACGTTTATTTTATTTTAGATAACGGAGCTCCTAACGTCCTCGTACTCTCCAAGTCGCCAAATTTGTCGAGGGACGTGAGGAACAGAATCTACAAAACCCTCGTCGATAACAGAATCGATCCGAACAGTTTGAGCTTCAGGAACAACTACAATTGCCCAGACATCGACTCCTATGGTCCAAACTGGTATCAAAATCTCAACTCCAAGCGAACCCAACCACTGTTACGACCTAATGCCATTCAGTATTAAATTAAACGATTCAGGTCACATCAACTTTTTCTTAAGTGTATTTTACAAATCAACCGTCTGCTTCTGTGTAGAGGCAAACTCTCTCAAAGAATTATGTCATTTGGTATTAAAAAAATAAATATTGCAAATCTCGTCAATTTTAGTTTATTATACTCCTGTTCAGAACCTTTATCCAGTGACGAGGCCTGTTGCCTTTCGGCTGATGCGCCTTCAATATTCGAGTTATGCAACGCGTGCTATTCCGCATAAATCGTGGTATCACGGCCCTGACCCAAAATTCTGCTGTTCTAAAATATGATAAGCCGAATGCATGATAACTCTAATTTTCTTAATATTTGTAGTTACTAATGGCCAAAGAACCGTCACATAATACATTTTTACCGAATTTAGAGATCAAGGGAAACCAACTGTTCCATTGCCCATAAGATATTCAGCAAATTTAATAGTCCTGTGTCTTGGGCCCGGATTTAGATGATCACAACCAATTTTTCTATACACGAAGATCCCATATCATGTTTTAGGTGTGGAAATTACTCGATTTTTCCTAAATCATTTTGACTCTTAATCACACATTGCGATGGCGAAGATGCGAAACCACGTATCTCCGTTTGCAACGTTGCAGGCTTGCTATCATATTTTATTTTTTCTTTGAAAAACTAGTCGGCGTGATTCCTCGAGAAATTCCTTGATTTTTGTTCTCTGTCAGCAGAATATTCTGTAGAAATTCCAAGCTATAATGTCTCCTTGTTCCTCTTCGAACAAATGAAAGAGAAGCGGAAATTTTGAAATATTGCGATAGATTTACGTAGTCTCGCACTTTGACCATTGACAAAATTGGACGAAGTTAAGGAAGAGAGATCATAGACACTCTTATGAACGGAGGATTTACTTTAAAAAAATTTCCGGTCAGGAGTTCCTAGGTTCATCCTCTCAAAACTTCATTTATCTTCTGCAGTTACTGCTCTCCTCTGTAACACGAAGTCCAGAATCGGCGTCAAAGTTTTCAAATCGACTAACTCCGTCGCCGTCGGACCGGCCGGCGAGCAGGTCATCGCTCCTATGACGTAAAGACGTATCTCAATTTCCACGTGAGCCCTGTTTTACGTATAAACCCGTGCTCTCTGGGGCTCATGTAGAAATCGATATGTGTCCTTACGCTAGAGAAGCGACGAGATGAAGCGTTGGAAAAAGGTGTGCAGAGAGGATGCAGCTTGGAATGAGGTGAAAAGTCTGTCAGTGCCTATTTTATAGTCGAGGATGATGAAGTTTTAAGCAGGAGCCGGAGGAATCGAAAAACTAATCTTGTTGTAAAGTTCATTTTTATAGCTCTCGCAACAAAGTTGGAATCCGCGCCCTTACGAGGCGAAACGTAAAGACAAAGTTGGAGCGAAGAAATGAAAGCTTTTAACGAGCTTTTTATACGTTTGTTTATTACGTCGCTTTCTCCCGGCCGCCGAGGAAACTCTGCATCGGAGCAGTTTCAGCCTCGGCCGACATCGCGAGATGGTGTCGGGAATATAACCCGGGCCTCCGAATACTGCCGTGCTAAGGAAAAACGCCGTATGAACAGTCGAGAGTCGCCGAATTTCCTTTGATAAAATGTTTATTTTTTAGGAAAATTATGAATATTATTTCCTGAAATTGTCAGGAACTTTAGATCAAAATACGAACCAAATTCTCTGAAAAATTGGAAGAAATATCTTCATAAGTTTACCAGAGAATTCGTTTTATATCCGAGGAAATTTTGCAACGCCTGAAGGTTCATACGGCGTTTTTCCTTAGCAGGGTAGAATAATAGGCGGGAGTTCGCATGATTCGGCAGCATCGCAGGCTAGCATTTCAGATGAGGCGCAAGCAGACTTTGTAAGTCCTTAGTTTTATCACCCGGCATGGCGGTCTTAATCTAGCGAGGCGTAAAGTTCCCTCCAAAGTAAGATGGCGTCTTCAACGATCTTTTTAAAGCAGGGAATACAGAATACATATACACCTGCGAGTGAGGATACATGAGTATGGACGACGAGAGCCAATGGGAGCCGTGCAACTCACTCGAGTCGATCCAGCATGACGTAGGAAGACTCCGTGAGTCAAAACTGATCCAGAATGTGTACTAGAGTGTAAATCGCAGTATTTTTTACAATTTTTTCCCGGTAAGGAAAATATTATATAAATAGGTTCAAATGAGAAAAATTTACCGCCTAGTGACGTCATCATGCGGCATCTCCTATTTGAACACATGTATTTTAGCAGATTAAACCATATTGTCATATCTCCTCCAATCTCCAATAATTGTTCAATTTATGAACCAATAAGGGTATCCTCGTTTTCAGCGTACTCATTTGTTTTCACTTCATCATGAAATTCATTTAATTTCAGACGCAAACTGATTGCGGTAGACGCACGAGTCGTAAGACAGTAAGTCGAAATTTTTCAGCCAACGTGCGTTTAAACTAGACCGTTCGTATAACTAGTGTTGCAGCTANTTCATAAGTTTACCAGAGAATTCGTTTTATATCCGAGGAAATTTTGCAACGCCTGAAGGTTCATACGGCGTTTTTCCTTAGCAGGGTAGAATAATAGGCGGGAGTTCGCATGATTCGGCAGCATCGCAGGCTAGCATTTCAGATGAGGCGCAAGCAGACTTTGTAAGTCCTTAGTTTTATCACCCGGCATGGCGGTCTTAATCTAGCGAGGCGTAAAGTTCCCTCCAAAGTAAGATGGCGTCTTCAACGATCTTTTTAAAGCAGGGAATACAGAATACATATACACCTGCGAGTGAGGATACATGAGTATGGACGACGAGAGCCAATGGGAGTCGTGCAACTCACTCGAGTCGATCCAGCATGACGTAGGATAAGAAGACTTCGTGAGTCAAAACTGATCCAGAGTGAATACTAGAGTGTAAATCGCAGTATTTTTTACAATTTTTTCCTGGTAAGGAAAATATTATAAAAATAGGTTCAAATGAGAAAAATTTACCGCCTAATGACGTCATCAGGTGGCATCTCCTATTTGAACACATGTATTTTAGCAGATTAAACCATATTGTCATATCTCCTCCAATAATTGTTCAATTTATGTACCAATAAGGGTATCCTCGTTTTCAGCGTACTCAATTGTTTCCACTTCATCATGAAATTCATTTAATTTCAGACACAAACTGTTTGCGGTAGACGCACGAGTGTTAAGATTATAAGTTGGAATTTTTTTCCAACGTGCGTTAAAGACTAGACCGTTTGTATAACTAGTGTTGCGCACCAAACGGCATATCTCTTTGTGGGAGAATTGTGCTCGTATGAGCTTTTTCCCTCTGTATTTAGATTTCCAGATTTCTGGATTTTTAACGCGCGTCGGCTAAAAAAATCCAACTTACTAATTTCAGACACCTGAAAATTCTCCATTTCTCTTCAAAATTTTTAACAGCTTGGGTACTCTAGATGCAACTTGCAACACTTAACGACGCTTTGGAAGCATGAAGAGGGGAGGAAGGGCGGGAGTGCGGGAGAATGAGCATAATTAGATATTTTCAGGAGGCGAGTCTTGGCCTGGATGGAGAGGCCGGCAAGGGTGCGAAGTAGGGCGCGGAGAGGTCATTAATAATTGATGAGAAGAACTAAGGGCAAATTAGATTATCATTTAGCCGTTTTTATTTCTCTCGGAGGAGCACACCTCGGACCGATTCTTAATCCTATCTCCAGCTGATTCCGGGCGTTTAACTATTCAAGCTGGGAAGCCGCTAGGGACGTCGCCAGGGATGCGATACGGGACAGGGACGGCCCCTTCCGCACCCTCCCCCTCGCCCTCTCCCTCGTCTGGCGACAATAAAAATCTCTTCTCGGCGTATCAGCCGAATTATTCACTCAATATTTAAAAAATTCAATTTTAATCCGCCGCGCCGCGTCGCAGTCCGATACCCGCTTTATGGCCGCCCCGCGGAATTTCCTTTAAATGTCGATTTTTCTTTATCAACACTCATCGCCGACCCCCGCTTTCCACCGCGCCGCACACGGCGATCGCCGCCCCTAAGAACTGGCCAAAAAGCCTGGCCAAGCGAGAGACAAAAATACTCTCCACTAATCTCTTGGTGAAAGGTGGAAATTTTTCCTTTCGGGCATTCAACACTTCCTTATGGACAATTGAGGGGCTTGGAGGATAAGGCGCATAAGTGAAGTTTTTGCCATTTCGAGAAATACCTGTTTGAAGTTTTGAAAATACATAGATTCGTATATGGCGGAGAGAAAGTTAAAACTGACTTTTTGATGCTTAAAAATTGGAATTTTGGAGCGAATTTTTTTACAAAATATGCATCGGGACTAGTTACACTTGAAATCATTGTCACTGTCACAATCTTTTCAAAAACTGCACTTATTCGCCTTGTCCTCCAAGCCCCTCAATTATAAGAAAGCAACAGTCATCGCCCTTCTTTGACTGTTGACCTACGAAGTGGATGATGAGCTTTAGGTGACGTCATGCGTTTGGGAGGAGGAGCTAGTGTGTTTCTTTTCTACTAAATTTAAATAATTTGTAAATGACCTTTAGATACGTTTAAAGTGTCAAGCGATCTTATGGATTGGTTTGATTATTAGGTGTATAGTTTCATATTTTAAGGCAGCGACCTTAACATGATGGTCTTGGGCCTTGAGAACAAATTCTAGGATCCAACCACAATATATCAGCTCTGAGGCAAAGAAAAAACAAGAGTCGCAACATAAATAGCGAACCGAGTGGCACCCCTTACTCCAAAGGTTCAGTTACAGGATCAAAAGCCATCAAACTGAAGCTCTGATTGGTGGAAAAAGACCTGAGGTGAGGATGCGACCAATGAGAGGCCCAATTTGATGGCTCAATTTGATCCTGTAACTGGACCTCTACTTTTACGAGTCGTCTATGATTGACCGAAAATTAGACGGGGCTCAACTTTCATCGAAAGCAAGAAAAATTTACACGTCAGATTTTTTAAAAATCAATTATCTGGATTTTTCTGAAGAGATTGATACATGCATGACTCTCCTTTGCTCAAACACACCGAACAGCTCGACCTGGAATTCAACTCGAAACACGGCGTTTGGTGTCATATTTGGACTACATTTTGCAATTTGGTACTATCAATTCTAGCCCGGTTTAAAAACAACGTATGTGC